CTGCCGCTGGTGAAGCCGTCAGTGTACCTGCTCCCACCTCCTTCCTCACTCAGCTGCTTCTCTCAGGCTGAGCAGTGTGAATTAGCTCACTGAATTGTGGCATCTGGAGCTGCTGCAGCCCAGTGTAAGGAAGCCTGGAGTGCAGTCAGCAGGGGGGCTGCTCTCTGAGCCTGGGTATGGCTGGCGATGCCTGTGCGAGGGATCACAGCACACTGTTCTCATCATCAGCTTCAATTTCTCTTTCTCCAGATGCTTCTGGTTTGGAACAGTGTTAAGTTAGGGGTTAGCATTATTTGAAGGTGCAGCATGATCCCCAATAAGTAAGCTTTATGGTCCTAGAGCAAGCTTTATGTTTTAAATATAAATGCTAAAATTTCCAGAGTTTAGGAACAATAGCTTGTTCACTTGCTAAAACAAAAGGGAAAACGCTGCCATTGCAGCTTTGCTTGTTCAGAGCACTTTCTGGGCGTGCTGGAGCTGGGAAATCCTCGGAGCTGAAGTGGAAGCACTCTGGTCTTACAAAGGGATGAATGTGCTGACTTTTCAAAGTGTCTGATCCTACAGCCCTGGGTGTCAAGTAACATTAGGGCTGTAGAGACTTTGTTCCCTTCTCTGGTTATAAAAGATAGTAGGTTAAAGAACTATAATTAAAATGTCTGTCTGAATATCATTTTACCTCTCAGTTCATCAGGTTTAACCCTTTTCACTTAAAAGCCCTACAAATTTTTCATTAATGGGAAGTCTTCAAGTGAAATCAAAAAAGTTCTCATTTACCTTTTATAAAAGTATAGAAATATTATCTGTTGCCTTTCCCCCTGTTCTTCCCTCCTTCTTTTCCTCCCTATCTGTAATAAGGAGGAGAAACTTCATGCTGCTTCTGATGGTACCAGGAGAAAACAATGTATTCACCCTTTTTGTGTTCTCCTACACACCCCAACTTAAAGAATCCCTTCACTTTTTATATTAAACATATTGGTAAATAAAAGGCAGCTTGTATTCAGTGCTGGTTTGTATTAAAAGTGGCTATTAGTAACAGCACTTTCTGTGTGATGCCAGTGTGAGTTACTGGCAGGCTGACTGCTGCACCAGGAGCTGCCTGACTCCTAAAGCAGCTTGCACGTTTTTGCTTTCTCTCTAAATATTTTTGATAGCATATAGCAAGAAGGTCAATAATTGGTGTAGGTGATCTTTGTAAAACGTGAATAAGAGAGATGCTGGTGAGCATGGTGTGTAGGAGGTGTATTCTGACACTTGGAGTGTTCCTAGGTTTGTACCCTGGGACCTTCCTGTGAGGTGCTGTGGTTCTCCAGATGCTGTAAGAGGTTAATGCTCAAGCACAGGGCTGTCCTACTTTCTTCATTAATGAAAATGGTGTAATAGTAGCTGAAGTGACACATGGGGCAGGACTCTGATCGGGTGACCTGTGCTTCAGCCACACATTTTCTGGCTAGCCTTTAAGGTCAGTGGTGAGGGCGTTGGATACACGCCTGTATTTCAGTAGTCTGCCAAGGAGGCACAGTATGTCTGTAGGCCCCTTTTGGTGACACCAGTTGTACATAAGGAAACAATATTAGTTTAACCTCTTCCTGTGGTGCAACGATCTCAATTCAGTTTTGCAACTGAAAGTAGGGGGAAATGGTATGGATGGTCAGCTGGTTTTCATGGAGTAGTGCCTGACAACCTCTACAGCAAATAACTGGAACAGCTGCCTGCTATTTAGAAGACTTTTTCAATAAATATTAAATTAGGCAATGGCTGAATGGAAGGTTTACAGTCTTTAGGTTGCATGTGAATTTGCTGTGACACCTGTAAATAGTTTTAGATGGAAATATTTTCTTAGTGTCTGGCTCACAAACAATCAATCTGAAAATACAGAGCCCTAGGAAAGAAGAATGATTAAGATATTTACAAATGCTTCCAAGGGTCTGTATTGGGTCCCTTTTGCTTCTGTACAGTTTGAAACATCTTCCACCAACTTTCAGCTACTGAGTATTTGGGGTACTCTGCATCACCCCTGTTGTTAATGCTGTCAGCAGGTTGTGTCAGAGGTTCCTGGCACGCGATGAGAAGCTGAATAACCCATCAGACAAGGACATTTCCAAGTCTTTTGATTCAAGAGAGCTCACTCCCAAGCTTGGAGCTGTTTTGCTTTTCAATGAGAGGCTTCAGCCTAAATGGAGTAAGAGAACTACCTGAGGCTGATTGTTAGAGTCCTCCCAGGGAAGTGCAGCATCTGGTTTGGTGCAATTTTTTTTAAAAAACAACCAACCAAAGAAATACCCCAGCTTCCATATTAGATCAAGAGGGAGGCAGAGTCAGCAAGGTAGGCACACTCCACCCCAGTATGCTCACCCACTCTTGTGGGATATGTGTGTTCAAACTCCTTCAGGCCAGAAGAGCGCTCGGCGCTCCAGCATCCGATGCACATCCGTGCTGTATGTCACTGGATAAAAGGGTCTTTTAGCATCACATCTGCTGCCTCTTCTGCTTTTTACTGAAGATTTTTCTCTTCTATTGTTCTCTTCTGTTTTCTTTCAAGTGCCTGGAGAGGTGTAAATTTTCATTTTAGGTTTAACTGTGTGTTGCTCAAATAATCCTCTTTTTATTCTAAGAAAAACATAACAGATGAAAATAAGGATTTTTTTTTCAAGTTGAAAATGCACATATTTACTTCGCTGTTCTTGACATCAGTGTCTGTAGAGTTTGACACTTAGCTTCAGATCTCAGCTTTGCAGTCATGTTAGACAGCGAGTTTATTTGTGGGTTATTGGCTTTAAAACCCAAGAATAGCATTGCAGGCTTGGGGAAAATAAGTGAGCAGTTGAAACCAAGGGTGTCAATAAAAAGCAAACCAACATCACTAGTGTGAAACAAATTCTTTTCTCTGCACAGCTTGTCCAAGTTCTGTGAGCAGCTTTTTTTACTTTCTTTGTTTAGTGTAAGACTAGAAATGCTCTGCAAAGTTCTGAGTGGCGGGCTTGGACTTTGTATTAGGCTGTGAGAATGAACCCTAAAATGTAGCAGTCTGTTTCTGGTTGAGAAGTGGAAGCATTAGTGCAGGTGTGAGACCCTCCTCCGTAACTGTGTGTACAGTTCTGGATATGGATGTTCAAAGAAAGGGAATTTAAACTGGAAAAAGGCCCAGAGAAGAGCTGTGATGGTCCACACAGAAAGACTGCCTTTGAGAGGAAGCTGAGTGAACACAACCCATTTAGCTCAGCAAAGTGAAGTCTGGAGAGGCAAACAAATTCTTACTATAAATACTTTGGGGAATAATAACCAGGAAGGGAAAGACAATGTTGGCACAAGAATAGCTAGGTCCAAGCTGACTGGGAAAACGTTTTGGCAGGAAATCTGAACTTCAGTGAGGTTTTGAGGCAACCTTCTAATTTTTCATTTTGGGGGTTTTGTCCCCCTTCTAGTAGTTTTTTAAGAGAGAGAATGTGGATCATTATGAACAGAATTATATAATTATTCCTTTTGATAGCAGGAGCCCGGCAGGGCCCTTTCAGCTTTACTTCTTGAATCTTTAGAGTTAGAATCCTCTTGGGTCACTGACTGCTCTGAACCTTTGGTCTATATTACACTTTGAAGACATCTGTGATGACAGTTAAGAAATGAAAAAAAAATTGCATCTTCTGTGTAGACATGCTGATACCTTTAGTGGCTCCTGGGGAACAGGGAGGCGAGTGCTGGGCAATACAGAAGTTGAAAGGATGGAAAACACCTTTAGTCAGTCAAATTTTGTGATGTATAGCATGAGTGGCTACCAGTTGTGATTCATTTACCCAAGGGACAGAGGTTTATATTTAGTCTGATTGGTATGCTTATATTACCATCATTAGTATAAAAATATATGCATATAACCTGTGCTACTTCTGTTGTTAGTCAATGACAAGGACCTTCAAAGCATATGCAAATGTTTCTGTAATCTGTGACATTCAGTGATGGTCTGTGGACATTTTCTCCTGTTGTCCTTTTAAAGCAGCAGTAACAGCACATTGTAGAAGGAATTCTGTTCTGACAAGAAAATAAATGCGTGTGTTTTCCTGAATTATAGCCCTCCACTAAGTGTATTACAGTTAATAAATCTCATAATCCAAAGATAAAGGTCAAGAGAATAATCCTAAAGTCCAATTTGAATCTTATTCAGGCTTGTTTCTATGCAAGAGGAGAGTGTGTCTTCGATGCCATTGCAATCCAATAATTTGATGGACACTGTTTAGAGGAACTGGGATACCTTTCTTGAAAATGAGTAATGTGCCACTTGTTGGTCTGAGTGGAGTCTAGTGCAGGAACCTGCATTCTACAGAATGATAGGCTGTAGTCCCTTCTAGCTTTGTGCTCTTTAGTTTTTATAAAACAGCTTAAAAGAACCAAAACCAGACCAAAAAAAAAAAAGGGAGTAAAGAAATAAAAGGAAATCCAAAAACAAGATATGACTTCATCTTCCTCTTCTATTCATCCTCACTGAAAGAATGGAACTTGTCCAGTTTAATCAAATAAGGAGGAAGTTGTTTTACCAGCAGGCAACAGCAACAGGTTTGGGAAGTTCAGAGAGGCCTGGACTGCTGCATTGGTGCTGCAGAGACTGAGAGGCATGGCCTCTTCTGCCACCACTTGTTGGATATCTTGTGCCACACCAGACCAAGTGAGTGGGATGTGGGCCTTTCCTTGGGAGCCCAAGCCCACACAGGCACCTGTGGGTGTGCCTCCAGCACAGGTACCTCCATCTCTGCCATGCTGTGCAGTGGTTCTTGCAGTTGTGCAGTGACTGATCTGCTCATGTAACAAAGCTCTGAGCCTTTGGTGTGTTTTAAGAGTCTCAGCAAGATAGAAAGGGAGGTTCTGTTTCACAAAATACAGAGAAGCCTGAGGATTGTACTTTTACTGATTGTTCAGATGAGGAGTCAGACAGGACATGGTTCTCAAAGGCTGTCTTGCAGTGCAGCATTGTGAATCTTACAGTGCACTGTTGTAAATCTCCCCCTTATTTGCAGCTGATAGTAGTGGAGGAAGATTCTTATTTTCCATGCAGCCAGCTTGACTTTTTAACTCTATCTGTGCTTCTGGAGCTGCTCCCTTCCTTAAAGGCAACCTTTGGAACCTGCTGCTTCCCAGATGCTGGTGTGAGGTAGGTTACCTCATGTTAGGCTTCTTGATCTTCATGGCAATGGCCGTGGACTGCAGAAGGACACTGTAGGAAATGGCTCCAAAGAAAACCAGGATGAGTTCAGCCTGCTGGTAACGCAGAAGAGCATCTGATCCCAGAGCTCTGGAGAGTGATCAGTTGTGCATCCCTAAGTGTGTGTGTGGTGGTCGCAGGTGCTCTGAACGTCAGAGCTGCACCTTGCTTCTGCCAGCTTTAGTGCAGCGTGCCTGCAAAGAATGAGACATACTTATGCCTGAATGGCCTGGGAATTTCCACAAAAATTAACACCAGATTTACTTCAGGCTTTGGGGAGGGAGGAGTGAGGCTGCTGCTTCTGCAGAAATGTGAACCTATTTGATTGAGATACTCTAGGTCAAGTCATTTGACTGAAATGCCTTTTGAAAATTATTATTTTAAGGCTAGCAGTAAGGGAAAGTGCACTGTTGTTTGTGTAATCCACTTTGAATTGTCTCCTTTGTGGAAAAAGAGTAGGTTTTATATGCTTCTCTTCTCTGTACCTCCCTGTTCATCTCAGAGTTAGAAATCTCTGTTAGAGTTGAGAGGACTGGATTTCTACAAGCCATGTGCACTCCCTGGAGAACGTCAAGCCTGTGTAGTTTTCTTTCTTGTGTATTCATGTAGTGCTCTAGAGCTTCAAGGAAAGCCTTGGTCCCAAGAGCTTGTATGGCTTCTTCTCTTCTAACCTTAGTGTATAGATTGGTACAAAGTTGTTTGACAGCAGAAATATTTCTTTGTAACTGTCACACTCATATAGTTGAGACGTGCTCACTTACTAGAGATTTTGCTCCATTCCTGGTCATTTTTGAGATTCTTAAATAGTAACTTGGGATTCATGGAGGAAAATATCCTTTCCTCAGGCAGTTCTTTAGGTCTGGAGACTCTTCCTAAATTTTGTCTTCCAAGGATTTCTGGTAGTTTCTTTTGCTAAGGAGTAAAGTATTTATGTTGAGGTGGAGAGGTGCCTACTACAGCAGGGGCATTTTCCCTCTCTTTAAAGCACTCTTTGTGATGCCTAAGGGGAGGCTTTTCCTGTTCCCAAGAGAGGACTAATGGGGAGGCACACTGAGCATATGTATTATCTGTTCCCAAGCAGTTTCATTCTACCTGGTAACTATTCCAGTAGGCTTGTTTCTCTGTTCTATCACCTGAGCAATGTTTCTAGAACAGTCAAAAGAATTGCAAAGGGCAGCTCTAAATACGGTGGCCTGCTCAGATATTCCAGAGATTTGCCCCCATTGCCCAAAAGGGAAGGGCACTGGTGAAATTTCACACTGACTGTCAATATTGCTTCTGTGTTCATGTCTCTTTGTTTTTCTTCCCTGACACAGCCCACTGTTTGTAACGTGGAAGATCGGCCGAGATAAACGATTGCGTGGATGCATAGGTACTTTTTCCGCCATGAACCTGCATTCAGGACTCAGGGAGTACACACTTACTAGGTAAGACTGTGTTTTCTGTAGCCTTGACTTAGGTATTTAAATAGTCTACTGAGGAGATGATAGGAGTGCTTTGGTTTCTGTTGGGTTTTTTGGCTGTGTCACTGTACTGTTCAACAAAAACTCCTATCTCCTTGTGATGCTAAATGTATTGCCTGGTAAGTTGACTGCTGGTGTTGTGAGGCTACGGTTTCAGTTAAAAACTATAACTTGAGCCTTTTTTCTTTTTATTGGTCTGGAAAACTGCTCTCCAGAAGCTTATTGTAACTGACTATTATAGTATTTTTTCCAGTGTTCAGACAAATTTTAACCTAAGTAGTTAGTGTCAGGGCAGAAGACCAGAAAGTCAGATTTGGGGATTATCCTATTCACACTCCTAAAACAGCAGGTATTCTCACCTCTTCTCCATCAGGTCCTTCCAATCAGCTGCAGTTAATTTAATGCTACAAATTTCCATTACATGTTACTCTTCAGATACATCCCAGCCCCTGAGTGGGAAGCTTCTGGATGAGGGAGGTAAGTGATAATAATCCTTCGCTCCCTGGCAGCATAATCCTTCATTTTTGATCTACACCTAAAATCATTCACCTTAATATTGTTCCATTTCCTTTGCATAGAGTGAAAACTAATAAGTTTATCACTAGAGCTAGTAGCAAGCTTTCTACTTGTTTTTTTTCTAAGAGTTTCCTTATTTTCTAAAGAATCAATGGAATTTTGTTCCACTTGGTTACAATAGATTGTTTATAGTGCTTTAAAATAGAAACTACATTCTGGCACGTGTCGATGTCTAAAATTGTCATCATTTAAAATAATTGGTGCCTCCAGATCACTTCAGATTTTGAGGCCTTCCTCTATTACAGGGTCTTCCTCTCTGCTGTTAAAATGCCCTGTCAATCCCAGTATTAAGTAATATGAAAATGAGACGTGTTCTTTCTTACATGTCTCCCTACTTTGTTGCAAGCTGAAGTTCATTTCATGCTTCTCTGCTCAGCTTGAAGAAATCAACTGCTCATCTCCTGGAGTCCTTACAGACTTCTGAAAGACCTAGTTACCTTTATTGTGTTGGTTTTATTTATTACACAGTCTGGAATGTTTCTGTTTGTGTCCTTTAAAGCATCAGCAATCAAAATGATCAATGAGAAGAAGCTTATCATAAAATTCAAACCAATTTCTCTGTTGAAGGTTAAAAGCCTTAAAATCTTAACCATTAGTGAGCCAGACTGGAGGAAGAACAACTTGCCCTCTGCACTGGAGAATATTTCATTTAAGTGTACACTTTACACAGTGCCTGACCAAGAACAACGAGCTTGTACAGAAATTACCCCCTAAGACCAGGAAGGTAGTGTGTGTTGCTCATAGCTTTTTCCAGGCTCACAAATCAAACAGGGCTGTACTCTTACGTACCTTTAAGAATGTTTGTAAGATTCCTATCTCTTCATTCTGATTCTGAAAGCTGAAGTCCAAATGTATGCAGAGTGATGCAAATTAAAGGGAACTGAAATATTTTCAGTGTGGTATTTAAACGATGGCCACATGCTGTGAATGTTTATACTGGGCTATTCAGAGGATAGATCAGTAATTTTCAAATGAGAGAAATGAAACTATATACCAGCTTATTTTTCAAGAATCTTTGTGAGATCATCGGTTATTTTAAAATAAAATATTATATTTAGTGGCATATTGGATTTCGTTGCCTTTTATGGGGAACCTTTTTCATTTCTATGGCACCAAAAATGTTTTTAAAAAAAAGCCAACCAACTGCAGATATGACCACTGAAATGTGAAGTTCATGTCTGAATGTGTGAGAAAGTTGTTCCTGTGTATCAGTCACGATTTAAAAAAAGAAAGAGGGTTACCTGTCATCAGCTCCCTTCATGGTGTTAGTCTTTTCAGCTGCAGAGGTTCCGGAGGAGAGCATGTGAGGAGTGACAGAAGCACCTCTGCAACGTCTATGAACTTTCACAGTTTGGAGCTCCACAGGCCTCCCTAGGAGGGATCAGAAACTAGAGCGCTGTGGCTTGATCCAGCAGTATGTGGGCAACAGGCTCCTGCAGAAGATATGACAATTCCTGAAAGACAAAACTTCTTCAGGGAAGGCAAAAATTAATTGACCAAGTAGGTAGAATGAGAATGGCTTCTCCAGAGTGGAATTTGACTATAATTTTCAGTTGAGCATAGTGGCAGATATTCTTCTGACTTTAATTTACTCTGACACTGGGAGGCACTTCTAGTTATTCTGAAGGTACAGCGTGGAGAAACAGAACTGGGTTGTTTGTTTAGTTCATTCTTATCTTTTTCAGCACCTGTGGAGTTGTCACCTGGCTTTCAGTGAGTAAAACAATACTGAAGAACAGCTGGTCTTAATTGCTCTTGTGCTCAGCAATCAAAATATCCTCAGTTTCCCACACACAGAATTTTATTACAAATATGCTGAGTAGTGCTTAGGATCACAATAAATCAAATTTTCATTAATTCTAGTAGTGATCTCTAATTGTATGTTGTGTACAGTGTGTAGCATATACATCTCTATCTGCATACAACAGGGTAGTTCCTTCAAAACAACATAATGATAGCTCATCTAGGAACTGGCAGTGAACTGTTTCTTTCTTGGGACACCCACACCCCCCTACTTAAACACCTTTTGGGGGTCTATAAACAGCAGTGGTGATGATGTGCGACCAAGTGAGTTTCTCTTCCTCGTTTTGAGCTCTGCAGGTTATTATGCTGGTATTGCCAGTACATTCTAAACAGGAAATGTATGTGGAATGATTCATCATTAATTGGATGCATCTGCCTAAGTCGAGAGGAGGGATGAGAATACCCAGTTACAAACACTAGCACTGTATTCCTAATAACATCTACATGTTAGAATTCAATTTTCTCTGCAGTTATAGCAATGAAACACAAGGGAGAGGAAGTGCATTATTAAAAACTTCTGCAGAACTTTATGAAAAGATAAATTCAGATTTATATATATTTTCACTAGGAGGCTAGTTGGGTAGGAATTTGTTGTCCAGAATGTTTTACAGCACTGAATATTGTATACTAGCATGGAAGAAGTTTATCATGGGCAAAGTAGTACTTTAGATGGAATGTATTCATTGAATATCCCCCCTGAATGCATAAAAATAAACTAGTCCAGATTGTGAAAAATACCTTGTGTTTTACAGCTCCTTCAAGAAAATACACTGAACTTGGAAGCAGGTTACCACAGAATTTCCTAACAGGTTGATAAATTACGTTTTCCTTTATTCTGTTCAGCAGTAAGTCTTAGGTTTTGACATTGAAGTTTTAATCTCCTGCTGTCTTACACTTAAGATACTGAGTGAAATGTTTTCATTTATCCATTTTAGTTTATTTTTTCCTACCCATTTCATATAAGGTGTTTAAATTCAGTTTTAAGTCTGTGTTGGTTTATCCTATCAAGGCTGGAATATGTATCTAGAATATATATCTGGGGAGGGGAAATAGCAGAGAAGAGGCAGATAAAGGGAGATGTTATATGAGAGAACCTTCAGTCACAGGAGAAAGCAATGAAGAGAAACTGGAGGACTCCAGGCCTTAAGTGCATTAGCATAATGGCTGAAAACTGGCTTTAAATATTAAAATAATATCTAACCCACTCTCCTTAACTAGTATAGGCCTGTCTCAACTGACTATATGATGTAATCAGTCTTTTTGTTTTGTGTTCTACTTACTGCTCCACCTGAGAGAAGCCTGATTGTTGTCAGCCATTCAGCCTAAATGTGGTTGACCAAGAAAAAACAAACAGGGAAACTTGGGGTGAGAGGCACAAGATTGAAGGAAATGAAACCTGCAACCCAGATTTCTCCTAACTGAATTTGGGTGTAGATGCCATGTGAGGATTTGGCTACCAGTGGCATCAGCTACTGCTCTGTATTTAATGTCAGCAGTTTCAAGTCTCAGTCCTTGTTGCTGCCATGTCTCCTGCCTGCTCTCTGTGGGCATTGACCCTTTCCTCCTGTTCCACACAGGGAAGTTAACTGTCCAGCTGCAGGACCACGGTATGGCAAACTTACTTAAGGGGTAAAACTGAAAAATGCTCAATGACTGATCCCATCAGTACTGATGTTGGCCTTATTTACTAAAGGCTGGAGGCAAGTACTTGTGCTGACAGGGCAACTTCTGTCCTGTATCTAGCTGAGATTACTACTCCAATGTTTAATTCCTGTTTCTTTTTACTGAACAGCCTTGTTCAGCCTTCCCTGTAATCAGGCCCTACAACTCAGCACTAATTTCCCAAAGCCTTTGCTATCATCAGGCAGTGTTGCTGTGGGTGTGGAGTCACTGCTGTTGATCAGGGCAAAGCCTGCTCCTCTGTCTGACTGCAGTTTTTGAACTGCAGAGCTGGGGGCATTATGGATGGGTTTGACATCTGTAGTGACCTTCACTGTTCACAGAAGTCCTAGTGTGAATTAACTCCTGTAAATAGCATTTCATGTAGTGTCTCAGGCCACGTTGTTGCTTCTGTGTTGCCCACTGATAATACTTTGCAGGCCGCCTTATTTTGTGGCTTTGGTTTCTAGTAGACCACTGCTGCAAGTCAGCTTAACTTGTTCATTTACTGCTCTGTGGCTGGTGGCCACCAATGAGAAGTGCCTGATAATTGTGGGATGAAGCTTGCACTATCACTTTCAAAATTAAACTCTGCAGAGAGCAATGTAGATTCTTGACAGCCTGAATTCACCAGTGTTACACTATTCTTGTATGTTGAACATGCTTCTCAAAGCCAGGAGGCATCGTGTTGCTGCCTTTTCACTTGGATGTTTCAATGAAAAACGGCATCTGCTGGTTGCCTCTTAGTTTTTTATGGAGGCAGAGGGCACAGATTTTGTCCCTACTAAAGGATGACCAGCAACAGAGGGAGGATCTCAAGGGGAGAAGAGATGCTTTGGGAAATCTGTAGTAACACAGTTCTTGTCTGGTGAGCCATTGAAAGATTGGTAGTTGAGGACATTGCCATGACATGGACATCTTCCAGT